TTCCGGGATGCAAAGATCGATCCGTTGCGTTGTGAAAATCACAGGTCGTGAAGGAAACGTGCAACAACAACGTGAAACGGCACAGCCGTGATGATCTTGTCCTAATATCGGTTGTTAATTGAACTTGACGACGAAAAGCATCCGATCGTTGAAATATTGCAGCGTCGTCGTTGATAATCTCGATAAGGGGGTATTGATAACGTATACACGATCGCGTATCGTTCTCTCTTCATTCACGGCGATCGAAAGAACATCCGCCTTCGTCGACGAACGAGCGAAACCGACGAATCACATTCGAAGGTGCACATTTTCTCCGTGATCGTAGAGTATACTTTAAACCGGATTAACATACTTTAGATTCGATTAATCGGAATGCATCGTACGTTTATAAAATCCATGAGTAAATTGCTTTATCGCGACTTTGATGTTACCAGTTTGATAAAATACCTAATTATAGATTTTCCAGGCTTCAGTATTTGGTGTATTTGAATAGCGATAGAATTCTGTTCTGACTGACTCGATCAAAAGTCGATGTTGATCGGCAACACTTTACGATTACGGGAAAATATTTGATCGGTTTCGCTCATCGTTGACGAAATACTCTTTCGCGAATCTCTTCTTCAACGAAAATCTAGGGGTTAGATTATGCCGATGGGCCCTAACACCCTGAATTCCACCATTTCGCGACGCAGAATCTCGAAACAGTCGCGAGGGTGCTTCATCACTGATATCTTCTCTTTTTCTCGTCAAAGGACTAGTCATTCTTACGCGTTACGTCTGATGTAAATCGGTCAAAAGATAAAATAAGAATTGTAATATTTTTAAGAAACAAAAAAAAAAAAAGCTCTATCGTCGTTTTCTACTGAGAAAGAATAAAAAAAAGAAAAGAGTAAAACAATGTAAAAGTCGTGCAACGTTTATGTTCTGACGAGAAATTTTAATGCTATGACTAATCCTGAATTCCCATCGCGACTCCAACGACTGGATTTGACATCGACGAATTCGGTGTTCCGTGCAAAGACAAAATTTTCGATTTATCTAAAATCTAGACCATTTTCGATTTGTCTGTTTCGACAAATCCGTGCCGACTCACTTTAGAATGAAGAGAGAAAGAGAGAAAAAAAATGAAAATACGAAGGAACGATCGTTGGAACGCGACTGACAATGTTAACAGAAAAATTCTTGTGAAAAACCAAGAAATATGTTGGGCACGCGAGAATCTAAAGTTCCCCTCAAAAGAAAAAAGAAAAATCTTTCGTAAACATTACGAAATATGTATTACGGAAATATAAATCTGCAACGATATTATGAAATATACATGTTATTAACTACGATGTGTTGTCTATTCCAAGCTCCTCAACTTGCCCGAGCTGGAGATTCCCAGCTACGAAACTCGCGAAAGAAAGCGATCTCTCGCGACGAACAATCGTCCCGACGTTTCGGAAAAAGAAGTGTTGCCTCGACAAAAAGAAATAAAGAAATAAGAAGGAAGGAAGAAAACCAATTATTATTATCATCATCGTCGTCATTATTATCTGCGCGTCCATCAGTTATCGTCAGAATCGATGTTACCGTTCATCTCGGAACAGTTCGCCGTAGAATTCAAGCGCCAGTTGTACGCTGCGAATGATCCAGCCGTTACCGTGCCTTCCTGACCGCGATGAAAGATCCCGGACGACCTGCTGGACCGCTATACCATCGTCTGGTACTTTTGATCAGGCAGTATGTAACCGTCGGTGTCCGATGGCGACGTGGTCATGTCGTTGCTGCTGGTCGGGTTCAAATGGTGGCTGGTCAAGTGCGACATCGAGGACGTTAACGTCATGTTGTGGTGATACTGCGGATGGTGGTAGTTCCCTTGGGGGCTGTGATGCATATGCGAGATCTGGGTTTGATAGTAGTCGCCGCTGGTGTACGGGTTCTGATACGCGTTGTAACTCTGTCCAGCGTAACATTGGCTCGGGTTCACCGAGCCCGGCGACGCTGAACTCCATGTGAAGCCGTATTCGCCGTGATGGATCTGGTTCATCGCTGGCGGATACGACGAAGGTGGCAGTTGACTCGAGCCTGGAGTTAACGGGGGCGACGGAGTGGTCATGGCACTGTTCGCGCCGCTTCCGCCGGTCGGCGTCACGCCGAGACGCGGGTACGTCGAAGTCGTGGACAACAGAGGTGAGTTCGGACCCGGTGCCTCCTTGCCACGCGGCGGCGAGACCGGCGACGAGCGTCGGCTGGGTGCCGTCGACGAACTCGTCGACATCTTGCTGCCGTTGTTTCCGTTGCTCTGGCTTTGAGTGGACCGCGGAGATCCTTTCGAGGGCGAGGTTTGCTGCTGCTGCTGCTGTTGCAGTTGTTGTCGACATTTAGCTCGACGGTTCTTGAACCATACCTGCACAGAAAACATCGACCTTGCATGTCTGCACGAAATAGGCATAATCTCACTTACGTGAAAGTAAATGTATCGTCATGAATTTTAAAACCACTTCCAACATGATTTTGAGCAAAATTTAACTGAATTTCTAATTTTTATTAACTTTATTAAAAGCATACGTACATATTAGTGATTAATCTCTTCATATGTAATGCTTACACATTGGTAATTAATGTATTCAGTTACAGAAAATAAGCGATTAGGAGATTCGGACCTCTAAAAATATATCATCGACCTTACATTGTTTGAAAGAAAAAATTAAGAAGAAAACATGATAAAGCAATGTAAGTCTGGAAGGGCACATAGTGAAAGCAAAAGAAAGACTGTAATTGCACCACTGAAACTATCCAGTGCTGCCAAAATCATGCAGGATGTTGGAAATTGCAAATAATCTTTCAATTCAAAGCGCTATTAAAATTTCTATTAAAATCGTAATTTCAATCAATAATTTTAACTTTCTTTAAAATCTTTACTTTTCTGAAAAAAAAAGATTTCAAAGAACGAACGAATACACCATCTTTTGAAGAGTATAGCAGCAATATAGGAGCAAAAATGCAGGCAAAATTGCTGCTATGCTCGAATCTTTCACGGGAAGTCTCCGAAGGTTTGGCAGAAACCATCGCCAGGGGGAGAGGGGGAATCATTGAAAAGAAAAGGTATCTCGTCACGAGGGATGGAACCGTACAAATGGGGAGTTAATCGGTGCAATGGGAAAGTAATCGCGGGCGGACGGCCGTAACATTTCATTAAATCGCAACAATAACAACGAGCCAGAGGAGGGGTGGTAGTTCGGGGGCTTTCATACGCTTTCGTACGTGTTCGAATTTTCATGTGTACGTGTTCACGCCTTACGTGTGTACGTGTGTAATCGTGTGTCCCTCGGGATTCGCGTTGCCGGCGTCTGTCGGCACGCATGCGCAAATCAAACCCCTGTCGAATATGTATGTATGTACACACCACGATTGTGCTTCCATCGTTGTGAACGAGAATAGAAAAATTCGCGAAAAACATGCGCACGCATGCACGCATGAAAATGCTTCAACCTTCGTCTTGTCTCTCAACTTAATTTGCATGTTGCTGTCAAATAAATAATAATAATATAACGAAAAAAGAAATAGTTCATTATTAATAATAAATGGACTAAATTTCTATTTCAATAGAACCCTACTCTCACGTATAGACTACTTAGTTCTGTTTAACATTATGATCATTTGTTTCGAATTTTCTCTTGCTATGGTCAAAATTATGTTCAAAACTACAGATACCTATATTTATGCATTTTTTTTCGAAAAAGTGGCACGTATAATTGAAAAGCAACAAGAATTAAAAGGCAGTGCTTGTCAAGGGACTTGACGACGAATATTACTTGCAAATCCTACCATTAAAAACATCAGGGATATATGATATAGGTTACAGAAAAATAGATGTCACGGAGCTTCACGTGCTACGTACACTTGGATGCTACAAAGAGAAAAATCTGTCAAACTGGCACAAGTCGGGCAAAATGGTCGCGCGAGTTTCGTGGAAAAGAGGGGCCTTCCTTGTCCTTGCTTCTCAGGGACTAGAGACAACGTTCGTGCGTCCCGAGCACGAACAAAAAGCATCCCCCGATAGGCCGCAAGTTCGCGCACACAGACCCCCCCCTTTCACTCCCCCTCACGCACCCTCCATAATCCCGGCACACAATGTGGCCAGGGGTGCGATCCTATGAATCTATGCCCGTGCCTTTAAAAGCAAGACCCGCCGTCATTGTTGTTATTATCGGCGGCATTGTAACAGTTGTTGCAAAGAACGCGACTCGCCGAAGCGGACACGGGATTTCCAGTCGCCATGAATTTCGTGTTAGTTGGGTTGAGTTGACGGACGGATGGAAGGAAGGACGAGGGCTCGGTCTCGCCGGCAGAGCTGGAGGTAGGGTTGAAAAGTTAAATCTAACGAGGCGTAAGGAAATCGAAAATTCGACGGTACGCCGCTGTTTATAGACGAGAGGCTGTTTCGATGTGTCGTATCGTTCTCGTTTCGTAAATATCGTTCTTGGCAAATGTAGGGGGTGCGGTAGATCCGAGGCGTGAAACGTAGATATTGCGTATCAACCGTAAGAGGAAATGATGCCTGAGAGGAAGTGGAAGAGATGCGTGGCGACGGGGAAGAAGAACGAGAAAGAAAACGCCCATTACCGCGCGATGTTTGCACAACGACACCCCCCCTTAGGAACAACACACAACCGGAGCTCGCAGCTACCCCAAAAATCAACCGAACAGGCCGTGGTGCCCTCCGGGGGCAACCACAGCCAGTTCTGCCTCTGTGTATCGACGGCCTAGGTGTAAATTGCATCACCATCTGGTTAACAATCCATCCAACGCGGAGAACCAACCCCGTTGACGCGCGGGTTGTAGCAGCTGCGTTGACGTTTCGTTATGACAAATATATTTTCTTATTTGCGCTATTAATACGACATCGCGTCGCAAGAAACCCGTCGCCTCGTTCAAAGCCAGGATCACCGATGACAATGGCGTATCGCGATAATTTTCGATACATACCTCGTTTCAAGATGTACGCATTTTTCAGTTTCTGCTGTATTTTTTGTCTGTTTTTGTATTTTTTTTTTTTTTT